GCCCTATACAGTTGCAGCGAGACTTCCCTACTCTTGTACTCTAAACCTTTTACAATGAACGCTAACTGCCGTTCACCTTCTTAGTTGCTGCTGCACCTGCAAACTAACTTTTTGGGACTGGTGTACAAGGACACCCAAATCCCTCTGAACACTAACACTATCTAATCTCTCCCCCTCGCAGACCAAGAAGTACCGGGTCTTCCCCAGTCACTGCTCAGTTAGCTGCTGATCACTAGTTAGCTCCTAGTTACGGGAAGGGAGAGACAGGAAGGGGTGAGGGAGGGGAGACAGAGAGGAGACAGGGAGGATTGGGGGGGGGAGACAGGACGGGGGGAGAGAGGATAGGGGGAAGACAGGATGGGGGGAAGACAGGACGGGGGGGTGGGGGGGGGGACAGGACGGGTGGGGGGAAGACAGGTCAGGGAGGAAAACAGGATGGGGGAACAAGATGTGGGGGGGAAGACAGAGTGGGGGGTACAGGACGGGGATGGGGTGGGAACAGGTGACCTTTGGACAGTCGGCAGTTTGACTTTCATCCAACGAAAATCCAGCGGTGTCCTCAGAGTCACACATTCCCTCACAGGAACATTCCGTCACATGGGACCACACGGGAAAACATGGGAACAGATGGGAATAGGCTCTCACACTTACCCGGAGATGGGCCATACATTATTTAGCAGTTGACTGCACATTAAAACCTTCTCAGGGTTACATTATGTGACATTTCATGCTGTGTGCGCTCAGTAACGTCTCTCTCTCTCTGACCTCAGCTTTCCTAACCCGGGAGGTGTTGGGGTTGGGGTGGGGGGTGTGGGGTGGGGGGTGGGAGTGGGGGGTTGGGGGGTGGGAGTGGGGGGTTGGGGGAGTGGGGGGGTGTGGAAGTGGGGGTTGGGGGCAGGAGGAGGAACACGTTGGTGCCCGGGATGGTGGGAAGATTTCCCAGGACCTAATTTGTGGAATTTTTTTTCCTCAATAAAGAATCCGAATCATAGAAACTTAGAGCACAGAAGGAGACTGAGGCGGCCACCAACCCTTACCCCAACTAGCCCCACTCCCCCACCCTTACCCCAACTAGCCCCACTCCCCCACCCTTACCCCAACTAGCCCACTCCCCCACCCTTACCCCAACTAGCCCCCTCCCACCCTTACCCCAACTAGCCCCACTCCCCCACCCTTACCCCAACTAGCCCCACTCCCCCACCCTTACCCCAACTAGCCCCACTCCCCACCCTTACCCCAACTAGCCCCACTCCCCACCCTTACCCCAACTAGCCCCACTCCCCCACCCTTACCCCAACTAGCCCCACTCCCCCACCCTACCCCAACTAGCCCCACTCCCCCACCCTTACCCCAACTAGCCCCACTCCCCCACCCTTACCCAACTAGCCCCACTCCCCCACCCTTACCCCAACTAGCCCCACTCCCCCACCCTTACCCCAACTAGCCCCACTCCCCCACCCTTACCCCAACTAGCCCCACTCCCCCACCCTTACCCCAACTAGCCCCACTCCCCCACCTTACCCCAACTAGCCCCACTCCCCCACCCTTACCCCAACTAGCCCCACTCCCCACCCTTACCCCAACTAGCCCCACTCCCCCACCCTTACCCCAACTAGCCCCACTCCCCCACCTTACCCCAACTAGCCCCACTCCCCCACCTTACCCCAACTAGCCCCACTCCCCACCCTTACCCCAACTAGCCCCACTCCCCCACCCTTACCCCAACTAGCCCCACTCCCCCACCCTTACCCCAACTAGCCCCACTCCCCCACCCTTACCCCAACTAGCCCCACTCCCCCACCCTTACCCCAACTAGCCCCACTCCCCCACCTTACCCCAACTAGCCCCACTCCCCACCCTTACCCCAACTAGCCCCACTCCCCACCCTTACCCCAACTAGCCCCACTCCCCACCCTTACCCCAACTAGCCCCACTCCCCACCTTACCCCAACTAGCCCCACTCCCCACCCTTACCCCAACTAGCCCCACTCCCCCACCCTTACCCCAACTAGCCCCACTCCCCACCCTTACCCCAACTAGCCCCACTCCCCACCTTACCCCAACTAGCCCCACTCCCCCACCCTTACCCCAACTAGCCCCACTCCCCCACCCTTACCCCAACTAGCCCACTCCCCCACCCTTACCCCAACTAGCCCCACTCCCCCACCCTTACCCCAACTAGCCCCACTCCCCACCCTTACCCCAACTAGCCCCACTCCCCCACCCTTACCCCAACTAGCCCCACTCCCCACCCTTACCCCAACTAGCCCCACTCCCCCCCTTACCCCAACTAGCCCCACTCCCCCACTCTTACCCCAACTAGCCCCACTCCCCCACCCTTACCCCAACTAGCCCCACTCCCCCACTCTTACCCCAACTAGCCCCACTCCCCCACCCTTACCCCAACTAGCCCCACTCCCCCACCCTTACCCCAACTAGCCCCACTCCCCCACCCTTACCCCAACTAGCCCCACTCCCCCACCTTACCCCAACTAGCCCCACTCCCCCACCCTTACCCCAACTAGCCCCACTCCCCCACCTTACCCCAACTAGCCCACTCCCCCACCTTACCCCAACTAGCCCCACTCCCCCACCCTTACCCCAACTAGCCCACTCCCACCCCCCACTCTTACCCGAACTAGCCCCACTCCACCCTCTTACCCCAACTAGCCCACTCCCCCACTCTTACCCCAACTATCCCCACTCCCCCACTCTTACCCCAACTATCCCCACTCCCCCACTCTTACCCCAACTATCCCCACTCCCCCACTCTTACCCCAACTAGCCCCACTCCCCCACTCTTACCCCAACTAGCCCCACTCCCCCACTCTTACCCCAACTAGCCCCACTCTCCCACTCTTACCCCACTACCCCACTACCCCACTCTTACCCCACTACCCCATCCCCACTCTTACCCCACTAGCCCCACTCCCCACTCTTACCCCAACTAGCCCCACTCCCCCACTCTTACCCCGACTAGCCCCACTCCCCCACTCTTACCCCGACTAGCCCCACTCCCCCACTCTTACCCCGACTAGCCCCACTCCCCCACTCTTACCCCAACTAGTCCCCACTCCCCACTCTTTCCCCAACTAGCCCCACTACCCCACTCTTACCCCAACTAGCCCTACTCCCCACTCTTACCCCAACTAGCCCCACTCTTACCCCGACTAGCCCCACTCTTATCCCGACTAACCCCACTACCCCACTCTTACCCCGACTAACCCCACTCCCCCACTCTTACCCCGACCAGCCCTACTCCCCCACTCTTACCCCAACTAGCCCCACTCTTACCCCAACTATCCCCACTCCCCCACTCTTACCCCAACTAGTCCCCACTTCCCCCACTCTTACCCCAACTAGTCCCCACTCCCCCACTCTTACCCCAACTAGCCTCACTCCCCCACTCTTACCCCAACTAGCCCCACTCCCCTACTCTTACCCCAACTAGCCCCAATCTTATCCCGACTAACCCCACTACCCCACTCTTACCCCGACTAACCCACTCTTACCCCGACTAACCCCACTACCCCACTCTTACGCCGACTAGCCCCACTCCCCCACTCTTACCCCAACTAGCCCT